CTACTCCGCACCTCCCAGCAGCTCATCCTGTTGTGGCTCAATCCCGTGCAGTTCCTCAGCGGTGCCTTTGGCTACAGCCCACTGCATACTTTCTTGGACAGATTCATCTATGAGTACCTGAAGGACCTAGAAGAAGTCATTGAAACTCTGATGGGGGTGAGGGTGGCACCAGGAGTCCCTAATCCTGGGTCCCCATAAGCTTCCAGAGCTGGGGGAAAGAAACACTGCTTCTATCTTTTTAGCAGTCAGGCCCTGACCCAGGAGAAAGCTTATTCTTCATTTCCACTCATGAACCCTCCAGCCCTTTCTCTACACCTTGGAGCCTTGGAGGGGAGGGAGGAGAAAGAATGAGTGAGAGAGGGAGGGAACAGTGTCCAAGCGCTTGGCCTCTCCTTCTCTTCCTCCACTTTGCAGAGGCTGGAAGATGGCAGCCCCCAGACTGGGGAGATCTCCAGGCAGACCTACAGCAACCTGAACATCGACTTGTACAACGATGACACACTGTTCAAGTACTACAGGCTGCTCTACTGCTTCCGGACAGACATGGACAAGTTCGCAACATTCCTGCGCATTGTGAAGTGCCGCTCTGTGGAGGACAGCTGTGGCCTCTAGCTGCCAGGTGGCATCCCTGACACCCCTAGCCCAGTGCCTCTCCTGGACCAAAAAAGTGGCACTCCAGTGTTCACCAGCCCTGTCCTAATAAAATTAATTTGCATCATTTTGTCTAAGCGCCTTCTCTAATATTATGGGGTGGGGGGTGGCGGTATAGAGAAAGGGGCAGGTTGGGAAGACAACCTGTAGGGCCTGCGGGGTCTATTGGGAGCCAGGCCCCTGAAACATAAAGGATGTGACTCTTCCTGGGCCAGAAGGAAGCTGGCACATGACTGCTGTCTGTTACTTACTGAGGCCACTCCACCAGATCAGTGCTCCCAGCTTTGGTCACAGCTCACCGATCATCCCAGTGATGACTTGAAAGCATTTCTTCCTCTCTGACCATCACCAGCACCACCAAACATAGCCTCCCAGGAGTGAGAAGAAATGAAAACAAGACAGGCTATTAAGTGCAGAGGCAAAAATTCCCCAAAACGTGAGAGACAATGTCATGGATTTCACTGTGTGCAGAAGAATTTCAAGATGAATATTCCTTTAACCCAACTGCCCTTCGAAAATGAGAACAATGCAAAAATGAGTTTAATACATATAGAACAAGAGCATTTGGGATCTGAATTAGGGCAAGGGAAGTGGAAGACACATTTTATTTGGGGTTGTAAGTGAAGTGCCAACAGGTGCCAGATAG